CCCATGTGACCCTCTCGCCTCTGCAGATGCAGTGCAGGTCTCTCTAGGGATCTCTGTTTCTGGGAGGCAGCTGCAGGCCTTCCAGGCTCTTGGGATTCCTCTGTGGCTTTTCATTTGTACGTTTCCCTGTGCAGAAGGAGCTGAAGGATTCACTATTGCTGACACTGCATTCAGGCTGTTGGCTATGAAGAAAATTTAGGAAGGAGAAGGGAAGAAGCACCTCTCCCTTTTTTTAAGGGAGATGTATTTCTTTTCTTTAAATCCCAGAATAGGAATAGCTAGCTGTTTGTTCTAAAATTAAAATACTCCAGGTGGAGTATTTTACAAAGCAATTAACTGTATAAAGTAATTATTTCCAAAGGCAACTTAAAGCACCAAAATAACTGATTTTACCTTGCTTTATTTTCTCTTAACTTGGCCCATTAGTGTCACACAGTAACAACTAAATGCACTTTGGAGCTTTTAGTCACATTTCCTATATTTAATTACAAGAAGTTTGTCTTTGTCTTATTTGACATAATTTTTCTATAAAATGTATCATGTAGAGGTAAACGCTTGACATGACCTTGAGCCATGTCGATTTACACACATAAGTAGGTTTTCAGGTCATTTAATGTATGTTGTAAATGTACATGTAGTTTCAGTTGGTTTTTTTTTCCTCCAGGAATGGGTATTGTATTTTAGGGCATTTCTACTAAAAAATTAATAGAACTACATGTTTGCAGGACATAGTACACATAAGAATTAGTTCATACTAATTGTTCACCCTGGTTGGTACTCCATGGATTGTTACAAGAATGTCTTGTTGACTGATACTGAGACCCAAACAACCACAGAGAGCAGTTCAGTAAAGGCCAGTCAGAAAGTTTGCATGACTCAGAACTGTATGTTGGTGGCCATCAAAATGAAGGTATTGTTACACTAGAAGTTTGTGTAGCACTTTATATACAACATGAAAGAGACAGAAAGAAATGGTATTCATAGTGTCATTAACATTATGCATTGTTTCAGAAAATATTCACTGAGTACACAGTATGTACCTGCCACTGTTCTAGATATTGGGGAGCAATAGCAAATAAGAGACAAGGCTCCTCTTTCTCATGGAGGTTACATTTTTAAGTAAAAAGACCAACCAACCAACCAACCAACTAACCAACCAAACAAACAAAAATAAAACAAAGCAATTTAAAAAAGCAGGAAAAAAAGAAAGAAAAAGCAAGAAAGGACCTAGTGATACATACAGAAATGGAAAGCAATGTTCTGAGCGGTAAGCTAGTCAGAGTGGTCTGGTCCAGTTTTTCTGACTGTCATTCCAGGTACAATTTGGATGACAGGAAAAATCCTGTTGCATGAGGGGCTGGGGGAAGAGTACTCCCCATGGAAGACAAAGAGGGAGCAGTGGGCAATGAGCTTTGTGGGAAAGGAAGCACAGGGAGGAGAAGGAAGAGCATAAGAAAGAGCGAGTGGGGATCAGTGCCTGATCATGGGGTAGGACAACCCAAACAAACCACGAAAGGAGTGGAAGTTGAACTAGAAGGAACACTGGCGGCAGATGTTATAAAATACAAGGTGGAGATTTTGGAAAAATTCCATTTGCTAGAAGCACAATTTTCATCTGGATCTTGCTTGTATTTAGAACTGCCTCTGATGAAGGCAATCTACAGTGCCTTTCTTTGGTCTGAAATGGCTAAGATGTTTTTAGTGCCTTTAGGAATCTTAAATCTCCTCATAGCATCTACAACTCACAACTTTCCCCGATTACCAATATAATACATGCTTATGACACAACATCTGGAAAATACAGATGAGCTAACAGCAGAAAATATCACTCTAAATCCAGCCACCCAACAATAACTACCATTAACATTTGGGCGCAGACTCTGAGTACGTACGTATTTCTTCAAGATTCACAGGTTGGAACCTCACCCTGGAGTGATGGTGGTAGGAGGCGGAGACTTTGGAAGTGACTAGGAAATGACGGACACTGGATGCTCATATTGTTCAGAGGGTCAGAATACAGGACCTGGGACCTAGGCGAGACTCACAGCTTTGCAATTCACTAAACGTAGTTCATTTCTCAATCCATTTTAATTGCTTATAAAATGCTACACAACTCGCTGTAATCTCTTTAAGGCTCAGTTTTCTCATGAAAAGTGGGGACAGTAGCATTATCTTCTTCGTGTGACTGTTGTGAGGGTTAAAAGACAATCTGAAAATGTTCTTGACTTTGCACATAATAATACGGCTTTAAAATGTTAGTTATTACACTGCTATCACTTTACAAAGCTGGGATTGTATTATAAAACAGTATACAAGCTATTATTACAATTATACTAAATATTTTTATGTGAGCTTAAACATTTTTAATATTATTTTAAAAATCTTGCAGATAAAATATTGCACACATTTATGATTACCTCTAGGACAAATTTAAAGAGGTAATAAGGTCAATGGATATGTCCACTGTCCTTGATAATATTATTATGTCTTCTGTGAATTTAGATAGGAATTACATTTGAAAGGAAATAGCTTGCACATGTGAAGCTTCATAGGCATAATTTATCGTTATCTTAGTGTAAATTATTGCCCCATAATATACTTCTTTTTTTCCCGTCTTTTTGAGACAGGGTCTCATTGTGCAGTTCAAGCTGGCCTTGGGCTCATTTTGTAGCTCAGACTGGTCTTGAACTAGTGACGATCCTCCTGCCTCAGCCTCCTGAGTGCTGGGATTACAGGAGTCACCACCATGCCCGGCCTTTCCCATATACTTCTATCTCTACATCTTTTCATACTTCTGCTTGGCACCGTCTCTGTTCATTCCTTAGGGAAGCTTCTTAGCACCAGGCTTTTAACTAAGCAAATTTGCTTACATTTTTCTGATTTTCTAGGAATTCTTTATTCATTAGTCTTTTCATTTGAAAGTATAAACTCACAGGGTTTTGTTTTATTAGAAATCTAAGATCCTTGTCTTCTAGGTGATATGGAAGTAAAGGAGAGGGGCAGTTCATTTATTCAAAGTGGTCTTCTGGTTCTTAGACAGCTTTACAAGGCTGGCTCATTTCTCTGTCTCTGGTCCTTGGTTCAGTCGCCTGTATAGTAGGCACACAGCAATGCAATGAGTAATTTATGGCCTCTTCCCAATTGTGGCCAGAAAGGACTGCAGAGGTCTGGATTGCTTAATGAGATGCACGTTGCCACACAGCTATTAATAATGTGCTGGAATAACAGGGCCTTGGGAAGCACGTAGGTAGCCAGGGAAGCCAGGGCTCTATGTGGCGAGTGGTTAAACCCATTTTTCCTCATTCCAGAGAAAGCCAAATCAAGACCAAGCAAATTTGGAACTTCCCAGTAGTCCAACTCAATAGAGTACAAAGAAGAGCCTTTTGATAATTAATACTGACCAAAACTGGAATGGGTTTTCTGAAGTAAATTGCCTCTAACTAGATGTGTTCAAATAGAAACATAGCAATTATTTGTCAAGTGTTATAAAAGAAAAAATTTTGTGTTGTATGTCGGGGGGGGGGGATAAATGGTTCTCCAATCTTTTCTAAAACTAAGACTATGTGATTTTTGTGAACATATGGATTGATATATGGATAGGCATTTTTTCATTGTTGATCTGTTACTTTGTGATTAAGTCCTTTGAGTGTGGATCCATTATTTTTCTCATTACAAAGAGGATGAGATAAATTCTAATGCCTTTCCTGACCCGGGATTCTAGAATGCTCAGTAACATTTTAAGTGCTAATTTAGTGTACTATGCACAGTAGGAATTCAAAAGATACATTTAAATTAGCTCTTAAGTCAGGAAAATCTACATTTAAAATAAATTAAGCTACCAGCTCCTGTGCAGTTGAGCAATTTGATTGAACTCAGCTGCTCTTAACCAAATACATCAGTTGACCACAAGAGTACTAAATATTCATTAGCATTTTTTAAAAAATTAAAAAGGCTAAAATTGAAAGAAGAAATTTGAGTGGATTTTAGTTTGTGCGAGATAAAAAAAATGCTCTCTTACTGGGTTCCTGTGTGGTGGTATGAAACTACAGCTGGAAATTATTTCCCAGAATAGAGTCCTTGTAATATGAAACTGTAAATATGATTTTGTGACACTGCAAGTATAGAGTTATTGGGAGACCACCACACTATAATCATTTCACGTGGATTCTAGGGGTAAGATAGCCACATAAATGAAGCCTATTTCAAGATGCTTTCAATTTTTAAGATTTTGCATCAGTAAGAGAAACAGAGGTCCTAAGAAGCATACGCTTGAGTTCAGTGAAAAGCCCCATTCTCAAGCAGCAATCTGGCAAAGCTTTGATGAGCACGGTAGATAGCATCTGTGCGATTCCAGCCAGGAAGAAATAGATTTTTTTTCACAAAAAGGAGTGAAAACTGATTTTTGCTTGCTTTTTCCTTAGCTTCTCTTCCTTTCTGTCTTCTCCCACTCACTGAAGGACAAATATGGAAGTCAATGCTCATATAAAGTACTAATTGTATTTATTAACAATACTTTGGATATTTTTAATAAAAGAAATTATAGTTCGGGTCACTATGGCTGTTCATTGACTAGACTATCCCAGTCATGCCTTTATTCCATTGATTAGGAAAACATATAATACTCAAGGTCAGCAGGCTCTTCATGTTTCAGACACTGTGATACATTAGACGCTACAGATGTGAAAAAATTGTCAGGCGTGATTTTTGCCTACAGAGGCATAGCAAATGCATGGCCTTGGTTCACCACAGAACCCAGTTGAGGCCCAGAGTTCTTTCTAACTCATAACTCCATCTGTCACAGGACTGGAACATCTGTGTGTCATCCTGGTGAGAAGTCCAAGATTCTCTGCTAATCTCCTCACTCTGACAGTCATAATTATGCTTTTTTCTGTACCTATAAAGTAAGACTCACTTTATCTGTTTTTGTTGAGGTTTGATTTTTTTTTGACTACCACTCTCAGAAACATGCCAAGGAAAACAATCATTTTTAAAAGAGTTACCTCTACTGCTGCTTTTGCCCTTTCAAATTCCTCTTCCAAGGAGTGGTTTCTAGAAAGTAATGCACTTCCCCAGCGATGTTCTTTGGTCAGCCGAGCCTGAAATGAACCAAACACAGGTGTCACAATATTAGAATCACACCACACAAGTAATTTTTCCTTTCTAAGCTTATTTTCTTAGAGTTCAAGATTTCTGATTAAAGTTATTTTTGGAGTGTTTTGCAGGCATGATGTTACCCTAAACAGAAATGTGTGTAAGCAGGTGTGTATGATTCTTCCAATAATGAGTTTCATGCCTGGTGATGTTAAACATACTAATCACGTTATTTACCTCTTCATTGTCTAGTGATCTACTTTTGGAACTCCCATAGCAATGGAATACAGTGAAATGTGTTCTCTTCAAATTCTTGTTCCTTGAATTTTTCAAGGTAACATATGTGAATTGCATGAAGAAATTCAGACAATTTTAGCCTTTAGTATAGATGAGTCAACAGGTCTGGGTTTTAGGCACTGGTATTTTGGTGAACCACACCACATGATGCTGACTAGCGGCTAAGACAGAGAATTCCCATTATAGGAATAGATACAGAAATTGATATCCAGATTTCACCTTGATAGATCAACTGCAGGTAAAAATATTAAAGCTACAGAGACAGAAGTGTGGCTTTCAGGCCTGTCTCTTGCTGTGTATAGCAGAGGCTCATACAGAATTATCTTTCTTATGTTTTTCCTCTGCTATGCTGGTCGTATGTCCAATTTCTCAGGATATTGTTTTTTAAAATCATATGAGTTGTTTAAATAAAGCATGTCTGGTTAGACCAACAGCTTTCTCACAAGTAACAGACAAGATAATACATGTCTTAACTTAGCTACACGAAAATACTTTGGAAGACTCCTGTGAAAAGAAGAGTTGTCCAAACTCTAGCCAAGGTAATACCATTTTGTAATAGGTGGCCATTAGCTGGCTTGGGAGTCCTTCCAGGAGCTGAGACTGTGCATTAGATTTCAGCAAAACAGAGCTATCCATCACTGTATTTGCTGACACCAGTAGAATTCTGGTTAAGAGAGAAAATAGGCTGCAAATAAACTCATACTTCTCCCTATAGATTCTTGTTTTCCTTTGCGATTGCTTAGAACCCTGTGTGAATAGGAGCTTGGGAGGCAAAGGATGACAGCTTTGGTAACACATCTGCCCTTACGCCCTCTGTGGATCTGTAAATAATCCTTAATATATTCACTTACTTGCCACACTGGCCTTGTCCCAGTCATTCTTTGGTCTATCAGGTGCCTTCCCTGTTGGGATGCAGACATTGCTTTTGCATCTTCTGGGAAATTCATATAGAAGTTCCCCCACTCTTGGTGTTTGCTCTAATTCCTTTTTGTTTGTTTTTTTTTTTTTTTTTTTTTGAGACAGGGTCTCACTGTGTAGTCAGGTTGGCTCTGAGCTCACTATGTCACCAAGGCTGGCCTTGAACTCACAGAGGTCTTCCTGCCTCAGCCTCCCAACTGGTCTGCTAAAACTTTTATTGCAGGGTGGGGTGGGTGACTGCTTGGTCCATGTGTTAGACTGCTCTAGAGCTGGGGTGCTCAACCCTCGCTTCCACGAGAAGTCTTTGAGCAAGGCGGGACCTCACTTCAGGCCAATTAAATGAGAATCTTTGAACAACTTCTCTGGGGATTCTGAAAAGTGGTCAGGTTTGGAAATTATTGCCCTACAGCAAAGCTTTGCTCTTCATGCAGCACTCACTGTCTGTATAGCTCAACTGCGTGTCGTTGTCCTCTGCTGTCCTGGTCTAGATGGCACCTTCATTATGACACAGTAGTACTAGCAGTGCTCACTACAAGCCAAATGCTGTTTTAAGTCCAGCAGACTCTCTAACTTGTTTGCCCTTTCAACAAGACAATGACATTGGGGCACAGACAGCTTAATTAACTTGACCAAAGTCACACAGCTACAGCAAGTACAGGGCTGGTGCTGTCAGTCAACTGTCAGTCAATGAATGAATGAACGGTGCCTTCTCTTCCCTTTCTTGTCCCTACTCCTGGAACGTATTCTCCTCACAGCTTCCTAGTCAATCTGGGTAGCTGAGGGGAGCACGTGGAGACTGGGGTAGACTTGTCTTTTCATCTTGGACCTGCATGCTAGAGGCCCATGATGGCACAGCCCTACCAGAGAGAGGAATGGCTGCTGGAGTGCGGGGCAAGGCAGAGTCTGGGTCAGAAGAGGGGGTGGCCGGTGGCCAGTGTGCCTGTGGGCTGGCCGGGCATCCAGGCCTGCTGCCTGCTGGGCCAGGCTCACTGCTTACCCTGAACAAGTCGCCTCACAGGCTTTCTGGGTCCTGTGAAAGTGTATACTGCCCTCACCCCAACAGTGGTCTCAGAGAGGAGGCCCTAAAACATAACTGAGATTGACCCTTCCACTGTTCTGACAATCGGGCCTCAGAAACAGACTTGAGGTTTACGCTTGTACTAATAACAGGGCAGTTCTTGTCTTTCAAGGTTGTGGCAGCAAATTCATACAGTAGAGGCAAAAGGCCATATAATTACTCTGGATTTAATCTCAGAAAAAAAGCAAGTTTTTGTTTGAAACCAAGAATACTATATTTAGTTACAGAATAAGCCACTAATTAAGAGTCTCCCAGACTCTTTAATTCTTACAGAATTAAATAACATTCAGTTAGAATTTTGCTCTCTGGGCTGGTGACATAAAGATCAACAGATTTGTTGGTATAAATCATAAGAAATTTATGAGTTACATTTTATAAATTATGTTGCCTGCCTTTTTATATATTTAATAATCACATAAACTAATATGACTTTTGATTGTGGCTGAATGTTTTATTTGGGAATTGTATGGTTCTGGGATTAGTGCATTGAAAAGAACACAGGTGCTTTATGTTACTTATAAGGTGAAAATTTGTGAACTGCTGACTACTCCTATTTATGTTCAATTTGATCCGAACTGAGAATTACATGGTTGCTTTGGTTTCTAATATCTGCACATTTCATTTCTCGATCCACACTATTTTCTTTGTGACTATAACAAGCCTTTAAAAGTACATGGCTGCTCTCTAGTGAGGAGAGTTATGGTTTTGCTGAAGAGGTTGGTTCATTGGGTCCTTATTTTATATATTTTTTGTTTTTTTGAGGTAGGGTCTCACTCTGTAGTTCAGACTGGCCTTGAACTCACTTTGTAGCCTAGACTGTCCTTGAACTTGCAATGATCCTCTTGCCTCAGTCTCCTGAGTCCTGGGATTACAAGCATGTGCCATCACGCCTGGCTGGGTCTCCATTTATTTAATAGAAATTTTAAAAAACACACACACCAAAGATTAAAACATGTGGCAGTGGCACATGTCTATAATTCCAGCACTCTGGGAAGCTAAGGCAGAAGGATCACAAATTTGAGCCCAATTTGGACAATTTAGCAACTTATTGAACCTTTGTCTGAAAATAAAAAATGATACATACAGGAAAGGAGAAGTCAAATTATCATCATTCACAGAAGACATGATCCTCTATATAGAAGACCCAAAAACATCTGCCTAAAGACTACTAGAATTAATAACCAAATTCAGGATACAAAAATTAATAGCATTTGTGTACACTAATAATGAACTTATCAAGAAAGAAATTGGAAAACAACACCACTTACAATTGCATAAAGAAAAATTAAATGCTTAGGAATTAACCAAAAAAGTGAAAGATCTCTTTAATGAAAACAATGGTACTCTGAGATTGAAGAGGATGTTGGAAAATGGAAACATAGTCCTTGTTCCTAGACAAGCATAACCAAAATAGTCATACTCCCAAAACAGATACACAGATTTAATGCAATTCCAATCAAAGTAACAAAAGCATTCTTGACAAACCGAGAGAAAACAATCCTAAAATTTGTAGTAACCAGAAGACCCAGAAGAGTAAAAGCAATCCTGGGAAACAAAAGCAAAGCAGAAGCTATCAAAATCCTGGATACCAAATTACATTATGAAGGTACAGTGATAAGACAGGGCGGTACTGGTACAAAAATAGACACATGAATCAAGGGAGCAGGACAGAAGATGCACAAACAACCCAGGCACGTCCACTGATCTTTCACAAAGCGACCAAAACACACGCTAGAGGAATGATAGCTTCTTTAACAAATGGTGGTGGGAAAACTGGCTATTCACACGCAGAAGATTGAATCCAGACCCTTATCTTTCATCAAGAACTAAACTGAAAGCAAACTGGATCAGAGATCTAAATGTTAAAACAAAACATTGAATTTGCTGGCAGATAAAATAGGTAAAAGTCTTGACTCTCTGAATAGAATCACCAAATGTATAAAAAATAACATCAACATCTGACAAGTGAAATTATATCAAATTAGAAAGCTACTGCACATCAAGAGTGAAGAGATAATCTACAGAACGAGAATGCATTTTTTTGCCAGTTATTTTTAGACAGAGGACTAATTTCTGTAATATATAAGAAACTAAAAAAGTTAGATCCCTTCAAATAAAAGACTCAATCAAAAAACAGGCACATGAAATAAATTAATCCTTCTCAGAAGTACAAATGGCCAACAAATACACAAGAAACTGTTTAAATTTAGAGAAATTAAAGCAACACTAAGATTTCATCTTACTCTGGAAACAACTGACTAGATCAAGAAATCAAATACCAGCAAATGCTTGTAAGGTTATGAGGAAAAAGAGACCCTTTTACACTGTTGGAGGGAATGCACACAAATGCAACCACTGTGGACATCAACATGGAGATTCCTTAAAAACTAAAACTAGAATCTCTATTTTATCCAGCTATTTCCCTTCTAGGTATCTTGCTTAAAGAAATCAAGATACCAAATTACAGAGATACAAGCATATTCATTTAATCAGCCCCACGACCCAAATAGCTAAATCTTGGAAGCAGACTCTATTTCCACAAACAGGTGAACAGAGAGAGAAAATGTGGAATTTATACAAAATGGAGACCGTTCTGCCACAAAGAAGGATAAACTTGAGTCATTTGTAGGAAAACAGATGCCCCTCGAGACCGCGGTGTTAAGTGAAATCAATCAGGCACACAAGCTTCCATATTGCCGGATTTCTCTTATA